CTCTCTCTCTCTCTCTCTCTCTCTCTCTCTCTCTCTCTCTCCAGCCGCCTCAGGCTAAGACTTGACGATGACTCGCCGCGTGTCCTTCCCCTCCTCTGTCGTCCGATGGAAGTGTTGACCGTTCGACCGCTGCTGCTCGACTTGCACGAGGGTCCCACTTTGGCGAGCGGTGCGCTGAAATATAAAAGCGTCACGAATTGGCTGACTTCATCTTCTGATCTTCTCCTCTTTCACCCGCACGCTATTTTTGTAGTAGTTGTTGTTGACAAGACTACATGCAACGTTTATTTTGAATAAATGAGTCAAAAACAAACAACCCATTTCATAAATGAATCTATATGAGGTGTATCACACGTGTGAGTCAGCTGAGAAAAAATCTGCCCCAGAGTTTACGGTAAAAAAAAAACAGCACAAAATCTCATATTTTTTGAGAGAAAAGAGAAAACTTTCAGGAACTCGCATGCTCGAGACAAAACTTTTGGGAAGAAATGAGGGGAATTCCCACATTTTTTGAGGAGACGTCCTTTTTCCTGAACAAAACATAAGGCATTTTTTTTTACCGCGCAGAGTTTATTTCGTAGCGTTGTGCGATGACAATGTTGGCAGTGCCCCGCCCCCTGCCCTTCGCCTTACAGATTCTTGCGCCGTCACCCTTCAACCCCGCTCGCTGACTCAGTGACTCGGCGGATCCCCGGCCCGGCCGGCTGCGCCGCGTTACAGCAGCGGTACGAGTAACGGTATATATCCACGCTACGCGGGATCCGGCACGGCAGATCGCGGAGAGCAGATCGGTGTTCTGCTGAGCACGCCCGAACCGTTTTACAGCAAGATACACATGCTCGCGATAGCGCAGCGCGCGAAGGCAGCTAGTAGAGATTGGAAAGCCGGAAAGGCAAACAGAAAAAGTTGAAAGTCACAGAAAAAACGACAAAAAACAGGAAAAATAACGAAAATTTTCAAAAGAGACCTCCTATTTTTTTAAAAAAAAATTCACGGAATATTTTTCGCAAAAAAAATCGTTATTCTCCTGGAAAACTTTTACTATCTGGGAAAAATTAAAATCCTTACCAGCAGCTAGAGCTAGAAATGGAGAGCAGGTGCGGTTTTATGTCCGTCTGACGGAGCGGGTTGCATATTTTCATGGGGCTTTCGTTGATATTGTGGAATTGGCGCAACAAAGTTACTTTGTAAATTGGTGAGCAAACTACATACACAAATGTCTATTGTGTTTGAATTCTTATAGGACACAATGCATTATTTTTGAAAATCAGGTAGAAAATATCAAAGACGCGTCTTTCCCGGGGGAAAAAAAGCGCGCCTCCTAGCCACTGTAAAAAATATCTCCCCAAATTTACAACATATTTTTGTTGATTATCAAAAATTATCGTTGCAAATTTACGACGGCCCATCCTTGCTCTTCGAATTAATTATTCTAAACCGATATATGATGGTACCTACAAATAATTTTACAATTTTAAATTATAACTTTACAACACACGCATATGTCATGGGAAATTTGCCTGTGGCCCTGTTTCCCGCAAGCAGGGCTTTTTTAAAGAACGAAAATACAAAGTAAATCCCTTTTCTTGTTCTTTTTTTACCTCTCTCGCTCTTTTCTTATTCCGGAACATAAGATTTCCGTTCCGAGCTCACGGCGGGGCGTGAGAGAAAGAGGGGGGAGAGGGGCGACCGACGCGAATGAGAAGGTTATGACGCGGAGGGCTTGCGGTGGCGGTGAGGATGGCGGCCCGTGCCGGTTATAGCTTCGAGTTAGCCCGGCCATAACCCTGCCGGTCCCAAACCCTCTCGTTTAGGCGCTTCCCGCCCGCTGCTTCGCCGCTCCGCTCGGCTGGCCCCGGTGCTGCTGCTGCTGCTGCTGCTGCACGGAGCGCCCTCTTGGCCCGGCCCTCTCTCCCCCGTTCCCCGTTTGGCTCCAGGTGGCTTGTTACTGCGAGCGGCTCGTCTCAAAATGTTTTCCAAGACGCTGCGCTGCGGCCGGGACCACCAGCACCAACGACGGCGCGCCTCCTTGGATAAGGTTGGGGCGGACCGCTCTTCTCCTGCTGCTGTTCGCTTTTGTTCGACGTGGTTTATTTTGTTATTCCTCTTGCGCTGTTAGGAATGGAAAATCCTCGGGTACCGTTTCCAACAACGTTGTTTGATGCCCTAGCCTCAGCGACACGGTAAAAAGAACTAGCTGTAAAGCTCAACCAGGGGACGGGATAAGTTATATAGCTATGTCGCTTATACATGTAGCCACATTGTCTATATAAATTGTCTAAGGGCAGATTTTTTTTAAATTTATTAACCACACAGCATAATAATTTATTATTCCGCATTTATAGCTATTGGTTTAGCTATAGCTAACCTTTTTGTTTTCTTGGAGGTGTAATATGTATGGCAGCAAAATTGTGCACTGTTAACCCAACTGTGTACAAAGTACACTCTTCCTTGTGTGTGCTTTCATAAGTACACACAAGGAAGAGTGAACTATGTACACGGTTGGGATCACAGTGTGTGTGATTCTCTCAGTAAAGTCTTTCGCACCTCTGTTTGCGTTGTGGCGACGATGTATCTTTTATTACCATGCTGAAGCACACTTCATGTTAATCCCCCCCTCCCTCTTTATTTTTTTTACCTTGGATCGCCCCCCTACGTGCCCTGTATCGTTCCCCCTGCTCCAGGGTGTCAAGGGAAAAAGGGGGTGGGGGGCGAGTGGAGTGTTCCCCTCCCCCTGCAAACAACAAGAACTTTTTCAATTTCACTCGGCTTGGTCGGACACGCCGCGGTGGTCTCCCAATCTATTTTGCAGCAGTTTCCATTTGCAAAGTCTCGTCCTGATTTGACACTCGACATGACGAAGGGAGCTTTTAGCTTTCGCTTATTATTTCTTTCTGTTTTCTCGCCCCCCCCCCCTTTTTCCCTCTGTCCCCACTGCGCCTCGCTAAATTCAACCCTGTGCCCCCTTCCGCTGCTACAAACAACTGGCTCCCTTTCCTTAGCCGCCAGTTCCCTTCTTTCTTTTTCCGCCTTTGCCGCGCGCCTGCGCCTCTCTGAAGTTTTCCAGAGTGGAATAATTCACATCGTTGAAAAGCCTTGTAAAAGTCGCCCGGGTGTCGCGCAGGGGAAGCCGCGAGCGTCGGGCGCTGCGCATAGAAGGACGCGCGCTTACCAGCGCTGAGCCGGCGGATGATATCGAAAAGATGTCGGCTCTTCCGCGGGCGAAAGGCGCGGAATCCAAGTCGTCGCGCTCTGCGCTCTGCGCGACCGATATCCCTCTTTTCACGACATCGTTACGACCGGTTACTCGCAGTGAGTCGGAAGTCTTCGTGTAACACGCAAAAAAAGGATTAGCGCGCGACACCTAATTATTTAGTTACGTAGTCAAAGTTAGTTGCTAAATTTTAGCTACATAGCTAAAGTTTACGTTCCATAACTATTTTTTTTTAGCA